TTTTGACAGGGGGGTGAACTAGTTTTCAACTAGTCCTGGACCGGACTTTTTAGGGACCGGACCGGGACTGAACCAGATGAACCATTTAACATCCCTATTCTTCATACAGTACCCATGGGTACTATTCAATTTTAAATAGAATTCTTGAATAAAACCCCAGGTACTGTAAGCAGTGGAATATGGTAGTTTAATATAAATTATAGATGCTTCTATAGTAGATTAGAAATTTTTAATAACAAGATCAATAAAATAAAAATAGAATATAAAGAAAAATGTATTTATTACTTTATTGTCAAATATATATTTTTAAATACTGTACATACTATAAAAGATTTATATAGGCTATATAACCAAGTCAAAAGCTTGAAAAATATATTTTTGTATATCGTATTACAATCACATTAATTACAATGTGTTCACGTGATGAATGCCGAATGTTAATTGGCTAAAAGTGTGTTTATATATTTAGTCGGAATTATAAACTAATGCCGGCCAAAATTAAACCTAAGATATTTTTATACCCCTATTTTATGATATTAGTTGATATCTGGCAGTATTAAATTAATTTTTATATACACAGCAAATAAACAAATATATTATGTATTTTAATTTTAATTTATTTAGTATTTTTTTCATATTTTTTTAAAGTTATAATTTTTTTCTAATTTTCAAATTACTACAAATACTGTATATTCTTATCTATTTTTTTTTTAATTACGCTAATATAGATATATATTTTTATAAAATAAATAAAATCATCAATTATCTTTTTTCGAATTGATCGGACAAGTGATTCTATAAATTTTTATAAATCCCATGATTAAGGTATTGTGTATTGATAAACAATACTTCTAATCATGAGATTCATAAAAATCATTTGCCCGATCAATTACGAAAAGAGCAATAATTTTTATTATAGCTTTTAATAATTACGGCAATTTACCCCATACGTACTGTACGTACGTACGTACATGCATAATTTTCTATTTTCAAATTTGTATTTTTAAATAAATAAAACAAATAAATAAATATATACTGTATACGTATAAAATAAAATGATATTTGCCAATAATAAAATAGTCTGTTTTATAATATATATAACGATATATAGTATTTATTAAAATGGTATGCATTACACGTGTCCAGCACATTTAACCTACATTCAATTACATTACCCGAGAGCGAGAAATGTCAGTTTAGTGAAGAGTAAAAGCATTGCATGTATCGTTCGATCAATAATAATAATTTAATATAAACCTTAAAATGCGAAATTCTTAGTTTCTGATGAATGAATGCAGAGTTTATAAATTCAAGAATCTCATCAGTTATTTAAATGATATATTTCAAAACCCGACGAAGACAAATTAAGGGTAAATAAATATAATCTCTTATAAACTATTTGAGATATGTGAATAGATCACCTTATTTAGAATTGTGGGCGAGAATTTCTTTTTCCGATAAAAATAATATTTCAAATTTGAGATAAAGGATTTGTCCATGTTGCAGATATGGATTTAATACTAAGGAGAAAAAATATTAAGTAATAGGCAATATAAATATGTGGCGACACACGGCAGAGTCCGTATTATAATTATAGTAACAATGTGATTACAGAGGAAGGGTATTTAGGTCACGCGAAAAATTTGTTGAAATCGCTTTATCCATCATCGCAAGTATTACTTACGCGGAAAATTGGATAAACTAATATTTTAATCCTGCGTGTAATAGTTTAAACGAATAATGAGGGCTGTAGGTGAACATCGAATCATTGAAGAACAAAGGAAGCATTGCAGTCCTTTTTTAACAAAATTTGTTTAATTCAAAGATACAAAACGACATTAAAATAAAGCATAGAATAAAATAAGACTTTTGAAAAAGAAACATCAAAACTCAGGATCATTAATCATTGAACCAATGCATTGAAATTTCATTCTTATCATGATTTCAATCTCAAAAAACATTCGCACTCCTGGTTTCTCTCTCATTATTCCTCTAATAATCATTAATTATTACTGTATTAAAATTTAAGATGGTTCTTAACTCGTCGTTGTACTCCGTGCATTGCATAACATAAATAAAAAAAGTACTCTTTTTTATAATAAAAAACGAATATTCAAATTGTCTACTAATTCTTTTTAGGCCAAGATGATTTGCTGAACTTTGCATACGATTACAGTAGTACTTAGGATCTTTGCAGTTGATTACCTTAGAACTATTATATTAGGATAAGCGATCATACGAGAAATTAAGAACCTTTGATATGATAAAAATGAAAGCGTTATATAAGTACTCGGATTCTTTGGTAAGGAACTCTGTGATTCCTTGCTTTGAATATTTACTTCTGATCTTGCATTATTAATTATTTCTTATTACTTTTCTGCACATAACACACGCTTATAATATAAATCAACTCTTTATTTCGTACGAACTAACAAAAATGCCAAAAGTAAAGTCTGACAAGAAACCCGCGAACATCGTTACCTCTAATCTTAACAATACCACTACCCCCGTCGTCATCAATTACCCTCCTCTTCAACCCGCACCCCCGATCGCCTTGGTATCTCCTACCAAATCTGACTCGATGTCTCTCGCTCATCCTGGTGGTGCGTTACTGTTTCAAAAACAACGTCTTAATGAAGAGGAACATTCCTTACTTCAAAATCCACCATATCAACTTACGCTTAGTTTGAGTGAACTTCTTTCTCCAGCTAGAAAGAATCGTAAAAATAAGTCCAAACCAGAAAATAAAATCCCTAGACCTCAAAATGCTTGGGTTCTATTTAGAAAAGATTATGAAGCTAATCAACGCATGCGCTTTCCCGATAAGGCATTAAAAATGAAGAATGTCTCTACCGATGCTGGTGATGTCTGGAGAAATCAACCGTCAAAAGTTAAAAGATTCTTTGAAATTCTCTCTAGACTCGCACATGAACAACATAAAGCATTATATCCTGGTTACAAGTACACACCAAAGAAAAAAGTTCCAAAGGAAAACAACAAAGATTGGATCTTTCATGATAGCGTTAAACAAGCGAACGATACCCAAGCCTTGGGTGGTATCCCTGTTGCTAACAATACTGTCACATCCGATGTAGCTGTGCGACAAATTGAGACACCTGTTAAAACATCGCCTCATTACGATTCTTCGCCGTTATCGTCGCCGTTATCATCTACGACATCTTCAATGTCACCGGATTGTTCTTCTCCAATATTCATTAATTCTCCTACTTCTCCTGTTGATAGTTTTGTTAGTCCTTCACCTTGTGACATGGGATTTTTATTTTCTTCTACACCTCAACCTTTTCCGCATGTTGATTACGCTACCGTTGACGCAGGTCCGTCAACTTTTGGTAGTACACGGGATGGTGATGATCTCTTTATTCTTGGAGGGTACGATTTTAGAAACGCCGATTACGAAACTTTTCAGCAACTCATTCAACTCGCACAATCTGTTCTCGATAATTCACCAGTTGTTTACAAAAAAGAAATTGAATCTAATACAGAAAATAACATTAAAACTACCAAAGATAATTTAGCTCAACGCGTAAAATCCGACACGGACATTTATATTAACCCAAATGCGAATATGACAATGCTTAACGGCACCGTTTCTGCTGAAGTAAACCATAATTTCGAAAACTATTGGCAATCTACTAGTACTTCGATAGACACCAACTTTTCCGATTCGTTTAATGGAAATATTACTACAACTGCGTCCTCAATTCAGCAAGTTTCTCAAATCTCTATTTCGACTTCGCAGCTCCCGGCAAGTATTCCAGATTATTTGATTGATGAATACGATACTGCCTTTTTTGCTGGAAACTTTTCAGGTGTCCAGATCGATTCACTTTTTGACACAACTACTTCATTCTTTTAATTTTTATCAGCTCACTTATACACATATATAGACTGTTAACTTTTTACAAATCGATGTTTTAATTTTTTCTTTTCTTATTTTGGGATCGGTGTCAATAGTACGTAGATAATTTATTGCCAACATAATATCGCATATCATGCTTTTTTATCACTACATTCTCATTTTTTTTCTTTTTTTTTTTTACTATTTTCTTTTTTTTTTTTAATGTTCTTCATATCTTCATCGTTATATATTTATATCGCATAAAAATTTTTTATAATAATATTTTTGACACGTAATTTTTTTGGGGGAATTTCACTATCAAACCCTTTATTTTTTTTTACATATAAGCCAATCAAGATTTGAACAGACACCTTTAGAATAACCGATAAGATATGATAAGCTTTATTTTAAAATATGTTTTTTTGTAAAAAAATTGGCATGGGCTTGTTGGTCTATTTCGCTGGCACATGGGTATAAAGATGTAACACGCCAAACTACGAAATTATGATTTTATTTTATTTTATTTTATTTTCTTTTTATGGTTAATAAATTTATGGTGTTTGGTGCGAGGTGTACGCACTACTTCGTAATCAATTATGTTTTTTATAATATAAATGAATAAATAGTTTTTTAATGGTTACAGTGTAAACTTTATTTTTTTTTTTATTTCATTGAAATTCAAAATCGATTAAGATCTTTTAAAAAGGTTGAAAACGGAAATATGGCTATTAGACGTTATCCGTTATCTTCGTTACCAAACGTGTATTGAAAATTGTGTAATGACTATGAAGGAAATCTTTATGGTAATTTAACCAACGTAAAAATATTCGGTTTTACTCATCTTGTCAAACCTTAACGGATACGCGTTATTTTATTAAACATTTGAAACAAGGAGAAAGGCTTAGGTTCAAATAAAATAATAGCATAGATCTTTTATGATTTGACTTTTATGTACGCATAATGATATAATCAAGTACCCAGATTTATATGACATTAGCCATCGAGTTTTTTCACCTAAAATTAAATAAAATAATTAGGAACTTGTGTATAAAACAAAGCTATGCCTACCACTGTTATTCTATTTTCGATCAATCATTTTACTATTGAAATTTCCTTTTTGATCTTCTATAACATTCAGCTTTTAGTAATTTATATAAAAGGCGAACATTTGATTCATGTGATCCACGCATACACACAGATCGTTAACAGTGGAAAACAGTGGGTGCATTATTTTGACGTAATTAGTGCATGTGCATCCGTTACCCTGGAAACGTATAAATTCCCTCGCCTTCATTGATTACATTGTCACACTATCTACATGATTCTCATAATGTATGTGATCGATGTAACAGTACTGCAGTACTGTATATAAACTCGAGAATCACTGGCATCATTTTTCATCATTTTCTTTAGCCTATCAAAAAGAAAATGGCATCACAAAACAACGCAACTCCGTCAATCCCCAATCAAGCCATGCCAAATAACATTGATCCCCCAATAAATTTTGGCAAATACAATTTTTTACTTTCACAACTAACCGATGAAGAATTGCAAATAATACGAAATCCACCCTTGACTCTGTCTCTAACTATTGAAGAGTTTTTTGCTCCTGCAAAGAGACCTACAAAAAATCCAAACCCACCTCGTTCTTTAAATATGTACTTCCTTTGGAGAAGAAACTATGATGCATCACAGCCTACCAAAAGTTGCACTGAACGCTCACGCGAATCCGGTTTTATGTGGAGTAGAGCAGGAGAAAGAGTCAAACGTTTCTTCCAAATTTTAGCAAAACTTCATAAGCTATATCATGAACTTAAATATCCCGAGTATAGATATAACCCAAAGAGAAATGCCTGTTCTAAAGTTAACACGAAATTGGTAATAGTTTTCAATTTATTACATATGAATGCCGTCAGAAGAAAACCTGTCATCGGACTTTCAATTATGTTTGTGTCTAAAGCTTTGATCGAAGATATCTCATCAAATTCTAATTGAAAGCCCGATGACAGGTTTTCCCTTGACGGCACTCATATATTATGAATTCTCGTATGACAATATATGTAATTTGTTTTCTCTAGGACCTTACACCTGCCAACTATGATAATGAAATTCAGGAGAGCTTAATGAAGCATCTTGATTCAGAAGGTCTTCATCTTGATATCAATGATGGTCATGAAGTCTGGGAACATTTTGTGAAGCATCTTGATCCTGAATACTTATTGGAACTTATTAATCGCATACGAAGGTTTCTATCATTGTTAATAAAAATCGATTACTTTACTGTATTATCGAGAAATAACGCCCAAAAGAATATTTTCAAATTACGATCTGAATTATTCAGAATATTATTCGAAATAGTACGCATGCTCGTTATTTCACGATAATACAATTAAATACGTACAGAACGTTATAATCTTACAAGTTTATTGATTCTCGAACGCCAAAATTTTAAAAATCCAGTTCTTGTAACGAATACGAAGACTAATTAAATGCAGTTTTTCAAAGAACACTATTTAATATGGTTGCTGTAAAAATTATAATACAGCAATAATATGCTTGAAATCTTACAACTTAATATGTATCTAACAAATCTCTTCATCGAACATGTTTACTAAAGCGCAACAATCTTTAAATAATAAATGCACTATAAAGTATGACAGAATTGTGATTGGTCATATCGCATTCACTGTAAATGCACACATTACGTATTATATTCACTCTATAAATGCATGCATTCCAACACTCTAAGTTCAAATCAAAGCTTAATAAAATGCCCCTCATAAATACTAACATTAAAGGGGGTGACATTATGAATGTTTTTTTTTCTTAGTACCAAGCCCATATATTATTACTTACTATATAATATAGATTTTTAATGATTTGATTTTACGTATTAGGTTGCCCATGCCATAAGCGGGAGTTTCTTATGACTGTTACGACTGTTCCATAATCAAAAGATGGTTAAAAAAAGTATTAATACAGTACTGGACAGCAAAAAACATCTAAAAGCGCCAAATTTTGAGATTTATACTCAAATGATTAGTTAAAAATCATTTTTTTTATATATTAAGCGCCAAAATTTTGATTACAAGACTCTAATAACTTTTTAAATTTATAATAAAATAAAAGCAACAAATCTGTAGAATTTTTTTTTTTGAAATTATTTGTTTATAAGTTATAAGTATTTTTATATCTATATCTATATCTATATTTATAACTATACATGTTGGCAAAATCCCAAATTACTATATTTGGGATTTGTCCACGCCCAAATCCCAATAAAAACTTTATTAATAATTTTTGTTTAAACAAATAGTAGATATTCTTATTGTTGTAAATAATATATTTGCAAAATT